CATAGATTAGTTTACGTCCGATCATGGCCACCTAGATGCAATTTTAAAAGTGACTCTGAAAAAATCAAGTAGGCTGAAAAACTTCCGGAAATGTCAGTTTCTGATCCAGAATTGTCTCAGAAATCCAAAAATGTTACAATATACAGGGTGTTCCATTTAAAAATTCAGAACCGGAGCCATTTCCGCTGAAACCGGAAGTGACCGGAAAGTGAAAAATATGTGAAAACATTCCTCTCCACATACCATTTATCTGTACCAAATCTCGTTTTGATACACCTAATAGTCTAGAAGTTATGACTTGTCTAATAGATTCGTTTACACCCGGTATAAACTAATGTAGTCTTTGAATTTTTGTTTGATGCATCATAAGTGTTTCATTCGGTTATTCTCTAGTGATTTTTCTCATGTAGTAAAGATCAATTCCCTCACCGTATTATAATATCATTTTCGAGACTTTGATAATAATTCAAATCCATGAAGTTTTGTTCACAGAAATTGAAATAATTGTCCATCAATACATTTTGAAATTGAAAAAAACGTATCATTTTGATTATTCATCAGGTAATAAATGTCTCACAAACTACACCTAACGATTTGATCTTCACAAATTGTATTTTCAAAAAAAATATCACGACTTGTTTCGCTATCACAGTAGTTTGTTCGTAGCTACTGTGATAGCGAAATATGTCGTGATATTTTTTTTTAATAAAGTATGTGAAGATCAAATCGTTAGGTGTAGTTTGTGAAATTACCATGCATTTTCATCAAGTAACAGCCAAATCAATCAGAAAAAAAAGTAATAAAGGTCCAAAATTATGATAACTAGCTACGTACTAGGTACGTACATTAAATAATTGTTTTACTACTATTTCCGTTTTTATAGGAAAGAAATTCTTTAATAATACTGATAAATAACTAATGTTTACGATCATTATCAACTATTTTCGGGCGCTTCAATGTCTACATCCATCAATGTGTAGTATAGAGATACCTGGTAATATACCTTTTTTCGGTGGCAAACAATCGAAAGTATCTCTTTTTCAGTAGTGCGCAATCTCCTTAAAATGAACTTGTATACAATAAAACTCAGGTTTCAAAACTGATAACACTTTTTATCTACAATCGTTGTGTGTTCATTGTTTGGTTGACTTGGTTTTCGTTACATTGACATTGAAAAGTTTCATATTGACTTCATTATTCTCTAGAAAATAATAGACACCACCTGTGCCTTGAGTAAATTTGTTCATGACAAATTGCAAGTTTTGACATTGTTAACATTTTTATCTATGCTTGTGCAATGTGTTCGTAGCACATTCAGATTATTTTTGGTTTAATTAAATATATCCCCGGTGATCATTGGGTTTTACCAGATATTCTCGAAACCGAGCCAAAACAGATCAATTTCGCTAACAGAATTAGGATAATGAGAAACATTTGAAAAGTACAAGAAGTTTACATTCCTTTCTTCAGCGACGATGATGAGTATCTTAGTTTGTTTTAATCTCTTTCTGAGTATAATGTTTTGAAGATGAAAAACTGCGCCCGAAGCCGGAGATGTTTATTATAATATGGCATGTGTCTATCGATGCGAATATTATAGAAATGCAAATTGAGAGTGAAACACGACAATTTGAAAATAAACCAAGAAACTAATGATGGTAAATAATGGCTAATTCGAACATAAATTGAATAAAATAAACGCAAATTTATATCTTCTGCGCTTCCTGAAAATGTTATAATCGCCGTCACTAAGTGCGTATATAAAAACCCAATTAAAAACTGGTTCTAGCGGAAGATGTTTCTCCTCCGGCAGGCCGCTGCCTCCATTCAAACCTGCTGCTTCTATTGCTATTACGAATGAAATCCGATAGTTACACGGTGGACGGTATCGTTTTAGATATCCACCCTGTATCCTAACACTCAAAAGCCAGTCTGTTTCGATTCGTTTATCTGTGCTCCGGTGTTTTGTAGTGTTTACGGAGGAAGGTGACTCGACAGGTGCGCCAACCTTGGTTTTAAAAAGAACTTCTTTATCTTTCCTTCAATCGGATTAGACGGCAGCTAAATCCAGTTTTTCTTTCCCTAACGGCTCGTTTCGTTCAGCTCTGGGCAATGGACTGTGGACTCACTTCCTCCGAACACAGTTCATACAGGGTTTTTGATGTGTATTGCTCTCCTTATTCTCCTCGTTGAGTCATATATTGATGTGGGTGTCTATGTGTTTTTAGTTCGAGTCGTTCATGGCCAAACATGTTGGTTGGTTGCGTGAAGTCACCAACACGGGAAAGTCTCCTAACTTGGATTACTGATAATGCTCAACAAATTGGATGAACTGATTTTTTATTTGATCTCTATGACGCTGTAATATGCAAATGTAAGAAATAAGAAAATCTATCAATGGCGGATTTGATATCTGTATTGCTATCCATAAAACCCCCAATTCATGTTCTGAAAAGTAAACTGAAGTAATTTTATATCCTGCTACTTTAGGTCAAATATCAATATAATCATTTTATTTGTCATTGCAACATGTTAAGTTGTTTCTTTCGAACGAGTGTAAAATACTTGCAAGTTCAATTAAATGTTTTTAAATTTTACAAAACTGAGCAATTCGTCTCATTGACAATGACTTTGACGACATCGCAAGCATCGCAAAACAGTTGGAGGAGATCTTTCTGAATTTGACAGATTTTTTCAACTGCTATATCAGTAGTGAGAATATCTGGTGTTTCCTCACCGCATGACTCATCTTCATGTATGCTGAAAGTTACGATCATCTTATACCGTGGATTTTCCCAAGGTACCGCCACTGATTGTAGCGATTCGACTTCTGTATAGTGACGCACCATCGTCAACATTGCTTCTACAATGAACGAGAAGAATTCGAGGAGTTTTCGACGACTAGATCAGATTACTTCAATGACTAGTAACAAGATCAAATCAAGCAACAATAAAAATTGAACAATTTTTTAAGTGTGATTGAAATAAGAGTTCGGTTGTAATTTGACGTAATAAATTGAGTTGTTGAGTTTAATTAAGTAGGTACTAGTTATCATTGAAGAATCCGTGCCAGAATTTATTTCACTTCAGAACAACTTCTGATCATTTAGATGGCTCCCTTTTTGAACTACTACTCGCACTTGCATGGGACTTGATACTCAAACATACTGTAAACTCTGAAGCTTTTCGACTCTCTATAAAGTAAAGGCTCGATGATTTTGGTATCTTTACAGGATCACGTAAACTTGGAATTATTTCTTTTTCTTATTTATAATTTTTCCTCCAGCTTGTCCCTATGGTATTAGAAGGGCTATCTATATACACCTTGTAATAACTTTTGGGCAACCTTTCAAAATAAGTTCGAAAAAATCTGTATTTCTTCGTTGATATAATCAACATTTTATGATTTTCTAATAATTTTCTTCTGTTTCAGGACCAGAATGGTGGAAAAATGACGCACACGACTTGAATATCGCATAATCCAAAAATGCCTCCGAGTGCCTTTTCGTGCCTTCCGCAACTTCACCTTCTGCCTTTGATATTACTGTACTTCATTAAAACCGGCCAAGGATGGCTGCCGGACACGAGCACAAAGTTAACGAACGGTGTCAACAAAATAGTTAGCGTTAGTTTTACGGGCAACACATCGTCGCCCGACCATTTTACTGTCTTGTATCAAGACGAAGATTCCATTCTTTTGGGTGGAAGAAACCAAATCTATAACTTATCCGTGTTCGATTTTTCCGAACGAAAGGGGGCTTCAATTTACTGGCCTTCGTCAGAGGCGCACGGCCAAATATGTAATCTGAAAGGAAAAACCGAGGAGGATTGCCAAAATTACATAAGGATACTATTTCCCACATCACCTGGGAAGTTTTTGATTTGCGGGACCAACTCCTACAAGCCTCTTTGCAGAATTTTACATCAGAAGGTAAGTTGACATCGTGTTTTGTGTTTCTTTTATTTTGCAACTAGATTGCAAAACAACAGAGCTTCACATTCTTCGCAGTATATCAATATAAAACCATCGTTACTGTCATGATGCCTCATCACTAATTTAAATTCATAGCAAAGTTGTTGAAATACATAATATGTATCAATATTAGAAATTGTACCAAAATGAGAAGAGAAAAACTGTATTTATTGAAGTGGTCACCTTTGTTCTGCTTCAGAAATTATTTATTAGATTGGGTACCATAAAAATTAATGAAGGAAATATATTTGTAGAATGCTTTTGATGAAATATTTCATGTTTTCCTTTTCTGATCGGACATTATCAGAATACAAGTTTGGCATATTAGCCAAGGGTGGAAACTTCGACATGATTCCAGCGGAGGTATGCTACGAGGACATCGTTGAGAATGTAGAATCAGGTAATCGTTCTTTCCCGAACGAAATTGCTGAGGAAATTGAAACTTCGAATATATTGATATGTGCAAAACCACTCAAGGGCCAACAACACGGTAGAAAGTGAGGTGCTAAAGAATCTGAATAACGACAAGGATGTACCAGTATGCCCCGCTGACAAAGAAAATGCCATTGTCGTGATGTATACCTGGAAATACAAGGAAAAAATTACCATCTTACTTGATCCAGAATTATGAAACTCTCGGGACCCGACCACTTGGATTCATCAGGTCATAATACGAAAAGGCTTCGTTAAAAATTCGAGTCCTTTTTGTCACGTCTATTTAGCCTGCCAAAAATCCACAAAAAGAATGTGATAGGTTCACCTACTTATGAGTTGGTTAAACACCCCACGGAAACAACAGAGGTCTCTTTGAAAACCTGTTTAAAATCTGTTTTTTTCCGTTAGCCAGATGTCGAAGTCCTACGAACGACAACCCTCAGAAGTCGAAACTTGTGCGAGCTAAGTACTAACGAGGTCTTACCTTTTAACGAGTGATTTCTAACATTGGTTGGACGTTAGCAAGTGAAAATCGATCGTCCAGCCTGTGGCTTGAACCAACGACCAACACGACGGTCGATTTGAGTGAGTGAACAAAGCACCGACGTCGAACCGACCGCTGCCGTCATCAAATACTTGTTTTTAAAGAAAAAACACAAGCACTGCATGAAAATCCTTATGGCGCTCTCAGAGCGGTGCCTCTGCGGAAGTAGCGATACACGTTGGATTTGAATATCTGGAGACTAAATTCATTTGGAAAAACGTTCTCAGACATTCCATCGAAAAGATGAGAGGTATGAGGTCCAGGAGACAAAGGGAGCTACGACGTGTAGGTATAGAATGGTTTCGATCAAATCCACTTCTATCATGGACGTATTTCCAGTACGACGGTGTTTTCTAGGAACAAAAACTACCCTGGAAAGAGAAAGTCAAGGCAATTTCGAATAGGCCTGTCAAAGGAAAAGCTTTCCTGTTATACGAAAAGCTTTCCTGTTATAGGAAAATAATGTTTCGAACCGGATCGGGAGAGTTCTGGAGAAACACAACGCGAAAATGATATTCCAGAAGGAGTTTAAGGTCAACTGAAGACCACAGAGGGCCTGATGAAGCTATTATTTAGTAGTGTATGGGTTTGAAAGTATGAAAATCTCGCAATAAAGTGTATTAGGTAATAAATAATTTCAAAGAATAGAATAGTCAAATTTTTCAATTTCTTCAAAATTATATTCATTTCAATTTCATGTATCAGTATTTTACGAGTAAAATATCTCTAGGCGTCGGCTTATTACCAATTCGTTTGCATATTTATTTTTTAAGGCCCTTTTCCATATCTTCGATACTTCACGTACACCATTTTTATTTCGTCTCTCATTGTTATCTTCATTCCCGCTGTTGGCACTAAATTTCAAAAGAATTAGGTCATTTCCAACATTGAAACGCTTTTCTAGTCGAGGAAGTAACGAATTTACACCTCCTCTTCTCTAATCTTATTTGAATCAATTCATTTCATTCTCAGACTGGTAATTATCTCCCATAATTTATAAATGCGGTCCTAATGTAAATACATTCAATTTGGTTGACATCACTGCCATAATTTCGTTCTAAGTGGTTCTGTAAATAGTAAACATTTGTCGTTCAGTAGGAAGTTTCGCGAATTTTCAGCGTTGAAGTTAAATTAAAGATGATCTCTGTGTAGCACATAGTACTAGCCGACTTGGAATTGTTTGTGAAAGGAATCTTCTAGTCTTTCTAAAAATCCCAGATACACAGGGTGGCTTAAAATTGTTCGCATGTCACCAAATCAGTGAACTATGATCATAGAATATTGTGAAATGTATCTCAGACTATTATAGATGGTTAATTTTTCATGTCCTGATTTTGCTGGAGAAAATATTGTGTAATGTTGTTATAACACCATGAAAACTGAAATGATTGTGAAATCATGTAGAAGTTCTCAAACTATAAATTGGATAATATAGGAAAACTTTATCCGACAGGGAGTTTTACAAATCTATTGTCTGAAAAATTATATGCGTTATGAAGCGGCAGTCCTGAAGCCTTTGGAGTTGAGGGTCATATAATCATCGGACAATGTTTTACATATCGAAAAAGCTATTTTGGGATTTGATTTTACCACGTATCTATTCCCTGAGTCTTGAAAATTGTACGTAATAGTTCACATTATCAATAAGGCCATTTTCACGTTTATCATGAATGCACCACTTTCTTTCGTTTTTTGACCCTTAGTAGTCAAAATTGCCACTTGTTGGTAAAAAAGTAGTGTAAAAGTTGGTGTAAAAGTCTCTGGATCTTAAAATCATGATCATAATTAGTTTTCAAATCAGAACCATTTGCAGGGAGGAAATTGAATTATTTTAATTTTTGAATCTTGTCTTATAAATGTTTTTTATTTCAATAATACCTTAATTGCCCTTGGAACCATCTGATGATCCAGCAATTTATGGATATTCTGCATGAACGACTAATGACAGTTTGACATCCATTTGTCTGTTGCCGATGTCCATTCCGTGCTTGTGATTAAGATGCTTCATGAAGTACCATACGTCATTTTGTAAAACTTTTCATGTAGAGATAAATTTCATAATATCATGGAAAGATGAATACTTTTCACCTTATATATTTTTCCGAAATTGAAAGCGGTTACTCTTTCAGAAAGGGATACATTCATTTTTTCAAGGAAAGACACTAACATAGTTTCTTCGACTGATTTATGAATAGATTATCATTTCTAAAAGTTATTCACAATTTACAAAAAAAAAGTCGTTAAAGGAATGTTGATTAGTCAAGTCTCATTATAATCTTGATGTATCCACCTCTAGAACTAGTCACACTGAACCCAATTCAATACCATGTTCACAAATAGGCACATTGAGCTGGATCTTTATCGGCTTCGTCACAAAAATTTCATCTCGTAGATTAATTTCGTTGTTGATGTTAAGAAATCTTTCTGTGAAATGGGTGTCGACTCTTTTAACTTTTTTATACCAATTTTCTTGGGAACATTTTTCGTTCATCATATCCTGTTTAATTAAGCCTGATCTATCTATATTAATGTCATATTCAATTTAAAAAATCACGATATGTAAATATGTATTCTCAAATTGGGAACACTTTGAATATTTTTGACGATTTAAGGAATTCGCTTCAGCTGCCCAACGTAATTTTCTACTAAGGAATTACTGGCAGGACCACTAAAGAAAGTAGAGGAACTCTGGAAAGGATAATATGTCAAGTATTTCGTCAACGTCAACCAGAACAATTTTTGAATTTTCAGTTATGCCACGTTTCACAAGAGCGGAAAATCTAAAAAATACGCTTGATATATACAAGCTCTCGATGAATTCGTTCAATCCAAAATTTATAATCGACGAACGCTACAGATTTGCATTAATTTTACATTTTCTTCCGCAACGTTGTTTCATCAACGAATTTGAAAATTCAATTCCTGATATATCGTTCTTATAGATGATACTTAAGATACTTTATTCAATGAGAAACGACCCCTCTAGTATTTCCAGTCAAGAAATGAAGATTTTGTTTATGCTGACGTTGTTATTGAGTTTATTCAGTTGGACTAGGACAGCGTGAATCCTGGATTTCTGTTGTACATTATTTTCAATATCAGTAGAATTTTCTATAATAGGCTGTTTGTTATTATTTTCTATATGATCTTTTTCCACCTTGAAATTAGAAACTAGTTGTAGATCCGTTATGGTAGTTGATGTATATAGAAAATGGTCCATATTATTAACTAGTGAAAATTCCGGTACATCACTCGCAAAAGCTGGCTTTAATTTTTTTCAATTTTCATATATTTGTGATCATTTTTTAAGACAATTTTCAAGTGCAACTTTTCGCATGAGTACTCATATTCTAAAACAAGGTTTCTATATGAACTATTTAGGAGTTCGGTCGTCTGATTCTTGTTTAGAGCAATGAAGTTTCTGATTAAATTTCATACTTTCTGTTCGCTTGGAAGTGTTTTTGAAAAAATTCTTCAAATGAAAATTTTCATTAATGATGTCTAAGATAACACTGTCATAACCATATCTTGTATCTTTGAGTTACTTCGTGATTTCAATATTCTGTGACACTTATCTTCATTTCTTGAAGCTGGATAGACTTGGTCTAGAAGCACTATGTGTAGTTAGTTTACAAATAGACTCCCATAAAAAAACTATTGTATAGTCAATCACGTGCTGACGGTTGATGAACTGTTATTTTACTTTCAATAATAAAGTGTTGCTTAAATACCTTCACATGGGTTTTCACGATTGGAATATGATGTATATATCCATCATTATAATTCATGAATATTCATTTTATGTTAATGCTTGTTACTGTTGTGTGTTCAGTGCTTGATGTAAATGTTAAAAATTGTAAAAAGTCATACGTCAGTGAGAAATTGCTAATAAGTGCATTTTTGAATTTCAAAATACTAAGGACTAGGTAAAAAATGTTTTGATTCAAAATCTTGAAGTAAATTATGAATAAACTGACCCGTTACTTGATGAAAATTAATAACACTATCCATAATAATGCAGTTTTCACAAATATAAATTGTGCTTGTTTATTGTTATGGATACCTCAAAGGAACTGATAGAAAAAGCAGAAAGCATACTTTTTGAAAAGCACTTCTCAACAACTCGTTCATAAATTATTTTTAGCAGTTTCTCAAAATCTATTGAAAATTCGGTTAGCAACACGAGCATTGAGAGACAGTTCTGGTGAGGGAAAAGTGTTTTTAATAGAAAATAATCCTTATCAATCCTGCTTGATGTTACGCTTGTGGAATACGAGGGCAGGTTTTCAATACAATTGTCAGTCTTTATTTACAAATCGGCACAAATATTACTAGAAATTGGACAACCAGTTATTACTGATGAACTGTAGGATTGCTTAAGCTCATTTATTTTTTTCACTTCGTCAATGACATACTCATTATTTACTCTTGTCTTTAGGTATATATGGCATTAAAATTGAAAAATATTTCATCAAGCTGGATAAGATGGAGATAAAAATATTACAAATCATGTTGTTTCTGTCTTAACTTCGAGCAGAAACTCCATCTTTAGCATTTGTTCTGAATTTTTCAATTATGCATTGATACTCAAACTCAAACATTCTAATTTCTCTTCTATTATATAAAAAATCAAAGTTACGATAAAATTCATGTCCCTCTGTTTCAAGATGATTTGCAAATGTTGAATTGCTCTTTTTAATTTTTTTTGATTGATTTGCTAAAAAATTTCAATGAG